GAAGTTGCCATTTCTCTTATCCTTTGAAGCCTAAACTAAAACAGATAAATAGTATTTTACAGCCTTAACTTAAGCGAGTTTCTGAATGTTTTCACTGCCAACCAGCCAGATCCATCACATCATTGTTGGAACAAACCACTTTTAGGTCAGAGAAAAACAGGAATTTTAAGTGACATATGAAGCTAAATCCACTTTTTTAGCTCTTGAATACATTTAGTTGTGTACTTTCAGACTGTTGGAGTTAAGAACAGTTGTGTCTGTTATTTTGTTTTGTTTTTCACTCCAGGTGCTGCATATATAACTTCATATTATGTTTGGGTCAATATTTTCCATCCGTTTAGCTTTCCCTATTACCTTTTTTGGTATTATAACTTCTCAGTTTTTCCTGCAGAACTTCTAAAAAATGTAAGTTATAGATGACAATGTTCCAAGATGATGCCTCTAAATGATTAATTGTTGGTGGAGAAAAAGGATTGTGTAATCCTATGATATTCCCCCTAAAGCCATTTAACTAATCTGAGCCATTTGGGACATTTTAACAATTAAACTTAAAGTGGACTTGCTTTAAAATTAAATTCTAAAACATGCTGATATATTAAGGGCACAATGATTTAAACCTAGTTCTTCCTTTCACGGTGCGTGTCAGATGAGCAGAGAGAAACAATAGCGTTAGTTTTTACAGCAGGCTCATAATAGAAAAAAATTGTTTTTTTTCAAATCGTTTGATATATTTGGAAAATGTTGTTAAAGCTTATTTTTTACCTGCAAAACAATGTTTTCATATCGATGAGAAGTATTTTTTTTATTTGTTAATATGAAATGTTGTAATGACCTCGCAGTTTATGGATTTTACATCTTTTTCTTGTCCCCTCCGATTTCTTTCTTTTTTTTTCTTTTTTTTTTATCTATTTTTCCTTTTGCCCTTCACAAATTGTCTTTCTCAGATTACACATTGTCTGCTGATGGAAGAAATATTTGCTATAAATTCCTAGTTAACTTTCATTTGTTATACTTTGGAAAGGAGTAGTCAGACAACAGTTAACATGTTGAAATAAAATCATAATTTTATATGCCAGGGAGTTCCTTTGAACTCAGTTTAAGTGTGAAAAAGAAAACAACTGCATGATGGGAACTAAAACCAAATGAAAGTCATGTATGTACTTGCACTAAATAGGTATAATGAATAGTGATATGTAATAACACTAGTGTTAAGCTGTAGTAGGATAAACATGTCTCCCTCTATGGCTGAATCTACACAGCATTTTATCCCCTGTCTCTTAATTTAAACTGACGTTTGACATTTCGCCCTCATTACTCAGCACTGAAGAACCTCTTTAAATGGCATGTGTGTGGAAAAAAAGGGAAATCCATCAGCTATGTTTTAATATGACTTGAAACATATTTGTCTGTTTTATGGTCATTTCTGCTGCCCTGTATTACTGGAGGAAACTCCAAAATAAAAGCTTAACATTATGCAAAACAAGAGAAATTTATACTGATTTATTAAAACAATAATTCTTTGCCTAGTTTTCATTTTGAATCATAACGCCTCTTAGAAAAGGCCTCACTGCTGAATGTACGAATTAAAATCTAAATAAGAAAAACGGCTTTCTGTGTTCAATTAACCCATCTTTATCCTTGCTGTTTTAGTTTATTTTTCTGTGGTCTTAGCATGTGATGCTTTACTAAGTCTTATTCTGAATGGTGAGATTTGATCCAAGATTGCCTGGTGTAAAAGCGCACACATTTCCTGAATCAATTTATTGCACATTTTATTATAAGAGACAAATGGTCTCTTTAAAACACTGGTTTTAATATGAATCTATACACTTTGAGAGTCACTTTTCTTTACTAAAAAAATATGTAAAAACAGCACTGGATATAGAATATATTTCCAGCTGAGTTTCTGAGTTAAGGAAACACAGCATTCTTTGAGCTCCGAGCAGAGAGCAAACTGTCCTGACTGAGAGACCGACTGCTGGGAGGCCATAAACTCAGTCTGTCAGCTGTCAGGTGTTACCAACTACATGCCTTAATCCCTACCTGAAGCAGATCTGTTCAGATTTACACTTTACAAAACGGTGTTATCAGGCTTACAATCATTACAGCGTGTTTTTAGTACTGTGGCCAGGGCAGAAACTACACTGGAATTGGTCATACAGTTATTATATGTTCGATGGTAGTGTATTTGAGAAGCAACTGCTTTTTCAACTATTTTAGAAGGTAGAAATGCACCAGTTTTCTGGTCAAACGTTTGTGCTACATTTTTGCTGGTTTGACCCCTACAAAATATTGTTAATATCATTTAAATGATAGCAGTACAAATGAAAATCTTTGCCATACAAAAATATAAAATTTTAAAATTAATTTTAAATATAAAATATTTAAAATAAATATATTAAAAATTTGAGAAAATTTGCCTCTCGCCCATTGACTGCTGGAGATAGGCACCAGCACTTCTCGCGACCCCACTCGGGATAAGCGTGCTAGAAAATGGATTGATTGACATAAAAAATTTTAAAATGCATATTTTGAATTATATACATTTTTTGTACTGCTATCATTTTAATGACATTAATAATTGTTTGTATAAGCCATCAAAGGTCAGGGAACATTTGTTCATTCTGAAACTCTGAATTTCATATAAATTACGAGTTGCTAACCTATGATTATATAATTTTAAACAGTAAAAAAATGAAAGCGGCATAAACGAAAATCTTTGCTGCACAAACCAGCACAAACGTAGCCGAGTTAATTGACACCCCTTTTGCCTCATTTGAACAGGGGGGGCTGGTTGACCTTTGATGACCTCTAGACACATTTCTTTATATCTTTAAAATGGTAGCAGCACAGAACAAAATTTTTGCTGCACAAACGTTTGACACTAATTTTGTCTGATTTGAAGAAGTTAGGGGGGTGGGGGGGGGCAACTTCACTCAGGTCATTACAGGAGTTTGAAGATTGGAAATGAGGGGGTAATGCATCAGAGGGTTGGAAATTTCTGTTTAGGTTACCGGTAATTACGTTTGTCTCTTTAAGGTTTAAAAATGTGCTCTTTTTCAGACTGAGGGTAACAATATTTCTCACAGTTTTGAAAGGGTTTTCTTCCTTACAGTGTTTTGTTTTCTATTTTGAAATATCTTAAATGCTCTAAACATTCATAGGACATAAGCTGCCATACCAATTATGCTCAACAAATAAGCACAATTTAAATTTTTTTAAGCATAAGGACCAACTGTAAATAAAACTTTGACCTTAAAATAATTAATAAAAAACTCTTCAAGACTAGCAAAAAAATAAAAAGAAAATTTCCAGCTGCTGTTAGTTTACAAGAGGAATGAAAGTAACCTGTTTCATGTTCTATAAAAGTTATCTCTAGTGAATAAGGAGGCTGTGAGTTTTAGAAAGTAGCCTGCAGGTTATATAAAAGTAACTTAGGTAATAGTAATTATTGTAAAGTAGCCAACAGATAGCAAATGCTTATGGGTAAAGTTTGTATTTGCCTTAAAATTCAAGAGACGTATTCTTCTTTTTCTTAGGAAAAGACGGGACAATTTCTGGGAATGTTTGGAAAAATTACCTGTAGATACCAGGAAATAACATTTAACTTTTAGGAAAATAAAGGTGCTCTGAACATTGTGTATCTGTTAAACAAATATATCTGTAAGTTTCAAGAAGTGCAACCTGTACAAAAAGGGATAATAATCTTAAGTTTTGTAAAGAATGTGGTAAAAGAAACTGAAAATTCTCAGAAAGTATTAAATGAATCTTATAGCCCTGAAATAAACATGATTTAAATCACAAAAATAGAATACAATATATCTAACTTATTACAAAGATTTGGCATTTGAGTTCTGAATTAATCCTAAATGTAGGGGACTATGATAAGGTCAAGAAAAGATGGTGTTAACTCAATATTTTAAGATTCTGCATTTTCAAGGCCTTTTTTACTCTCTTCAAAAGTAATTCAAATAACTTTTTATCTTCCACTTTAGCTGCTTGTTTTGGAATAAGTTTTCCACACAAACCCTTTCCCCAATCACTGAATTAAAGGCAGATGTTTTGTTCCAACTGGAGCCTTCAGATCCTCAAACCCAAATCAGGTGGTTTTCCCAAGGATTTCATACATGATAATAATTTCAGGGTCTCTCTTTTCGCACCTTGGCTATTCAACAAGTTTCCTTTTTGTTTTTAAGTCATTTAGAAAGCAGCTGAAGCTAAACCCATTTTTTTCTCTTTAAATTATTGTTTGTTTTATAATATTATATAATTATTTTATTTTGAGAAACGTTTTCAGTCAGTTTTCATCACACAGTGAAATTGACTCTGGTTATGAAGACTCTGGCGCCCTCTTGTGGTTTCAGTACATTTTCTGATTTCTTTTTTCTTTTTTTTATTCAGCCAGACAAGCATGCATCAGTGTGAATGGACTGCACTTTTCTTCTCTTTACTTTTTCAAATGTAATTTACATTTTAAACATTTGTTGAATGTTTTAAAATTGTTCGCAAAACTAACCAGAATCTCTCCCCTAATAGTATTAGCATGCAATACATTATAAGCCTGTATAGTGCTTGGCTTGTTGCGTTCCAGTATAACTTTCAGCTTTTATCTGTTTTTACTCAAATGATTAAATCCATTAATCAGTAGGTCTATAAATGTACTGTTAGGCTAGAAACAAGCAATAAAATTGAGAGAAAGTTAGAGAAAACTGCATAAATAAACAAAGCATACAAAACTGCAGGCTCTTAACCGTATCTCTATGTCTAGAAATAACACAGGACAAAGTGTGCTTAACCGCCATAGTTACTGGAGTCCATTCACCCCACTTCAAAGTGAATAAGTGGAAAAAACTGACCACTTTTCTTATGCCAACAAAATGAAAATGAGGGCCAGTCAGATATGACTCCCTCCACATTGGCTAGGGGGAACTGAACTGGGAGGAGTTCAAAGTACCACAGTTCAGCTGCTTTCCTCCTCATACACATTGGAAGAGAAAAGAAGTGATGACAGAAGACAGAAAGGACACGCAGCTGCCTTCTTTCTGATCCCAATAAGGTGATAAACCTGTATCAGTTTTTGTTCTGGAGAATGAAACCTGCACAGGAGAAGCGTTCCTGCATAGAAGAAGAGCTGAAATGAAGCAAAGTGATTAAACATTTGGGGAAACAAGCAAGGTAAGAGCTTAATGAAGTTGCATGGAGGAAAAGCTGCCAAGTTTAACCCCCAGCCAGTAAGAAAGCCTCACATAGTTCAGCAATATTGTGTTCCAAAATAAATAACTTTTTTTTTTTTTTTTTTTACTGACAATTTCTTGCTGAAACTACACTGAAAAATGTATGCAACCATTTTTGGTACCTACTTAATCATATCCAGTTACTTTAACACAATTGTTTTATGTCCTACCATACTAACATGAAACAAAATAAAACTGGGTTAAAGTAATTAAATATGATTAAGTAAATGCCAGAAACAGTTGCTTTATTTTTTTTCAGTTTTCCCGTTCTTCCTTCAGTGGGCTGCGAGTTCTTGATAAGTTTAAGAAAACTGGGAAAGAAACAAATATTATCATTATAGAACTGAGTGAAGAGAAATTAACTCTTGTTGTTTCAATAGATAAAATTTGCTACTCTGGTGGAAACAGTTTCAGTTAAAATTGTGGGATTTTCCACTTCTCTGGCCCACAGAAGCCACCAGATAGATTTTTGTTTCTGTTCCAAGTTATAGATCTAGCAGTAAGAGTAATTAAACATGATTATCTCAGATGATGCAAAATCTCATCATCAGTCCCTAAGAGGTTGTTGCACCCCTGTGCTGCCCTGATCTTTTCCTGTTTTATCTTTTCCTCCTTAGCTGCTGGCTTCTTCAGTATTCCTAAATGTTTAATTTCTTTTCCATTCAAATTGTAAGGTAGCATAAACAGTCTGAAAATAAAGAGATTTCTCTGTCTTCTGGCTAAGAAAAACTCAAAGATAATTTATGGAGAGGAGAAAAACACTGAAAAAAAATCTATTTAAAGTAGGAATATGTACAATATGATATTACACTTTTAAATAACAAATTGTACATTTGAAGAAAAAAAAATTTGAAAAAAATGTGTTAACAAAAATGCAAAGGTTAGACATACTCTGTTTTTTTTTAAACTGATATAATAATATATAATAATATATAATTAGCTTTTAAACACCAAAAAAGAGAAACATTTTTAAAAAATATAGAGGACTGATTATTCTTATATCTCTTTATACACAAAGCAGCAGATTTTAGCATTAAGTCTAACAAGTGCATCCACATTGTTTATTCGAAATATACGCATAGTCAGGATTATGTTTTTGTTTGCTGAAGGTGAAGATGCTGGCTGTCGATATGTCCATGTGGATGATCCTTCCTGTCAGCCTGCCAGTCTTCACCATCACAGGAATATGGGTCATGTGAGTACAGTATATTTACAGTTATTCACAGACATCATAGATCATAAAAGAAAGGCAGCAAATATATCATAATTTAATTTCATCAATTAGTACCTTAAAAAAGTACAGCAGTTGTAACTAAAAGGCTGACATTAATAGTTGTCTCTCTGGCGACTATTAAGGGAGGAAATTCCTCCCTATCAGGCACAGAAATTAACTTTTTTGTTTTGCTTTAGACTCTAGAACTGACTGCTGTACTTTATTCTTTGCTGTCACTGTGCTGGTTAAAATACAACCATTAATCCTTCACTAAATTTAATGAGTGAAGATGCCTCAGGGTGTGTTGTCTTTCTCATACTATGCAGAGACATAACTATTTCCAATCACATTTTATGTAAGCGTGGAGAAGAAAAGATTGAGGATTCATATTGCACAAAAAACAACAGAAGAATAAATGGATATTGATCCCATTTACCGACTTAAAAAATCTTGTTTTTTTTTTTTTATATTCTACTCATTTGAAACTAAACATTATTGTCTTTTTCCTTTGCAGATATGCCATGGCTCTCTACAACCAGCATGTATGCCCTGTGCACAACTGGTAAAAACAAACACAATCAGTTATAATAATAATGATAATAATAACAACAATAATAATTATAATAATACTGTAAAGTAAATCAGACCTTTTGTGAGTCCTCAGATTTATGTAATTTTATGAAGGTCAAGAGCCCAACAACACTGAAGCAGAGGGTTTAAACAGACTATTATTTTGTGCATTTTAGCAGCCAGTTTGTTGTAGCTTTTTTATTCTATTATTCTCTAAAAAAAGAGATCAGATTTTTTTTATTATTATTACAACTGAAGGATCTATTTGTCATATTTAAGGCAAAATAATGAAGCCAGCTTTCTCTCCTGTCTGCACAAATGGAGCATAAGCTTATGATTCTCTTTGATTTGGTTCCATACACTCCCTACCATTTATTTTATTTGAATTCCATTTAAAGCGTAACTCCCTTTATCATTAATGAAATGAGGGAGTTCTGGGAAAATATCATGTTTTAAAAGCTATGGTGAAGCTTGAATGTCTGATCAGCAGATATAAAAATAAACAAATGTAGGTTGGCATGCGGTCTGGATCTTTTCTGCTTTCAAACGGCAAAAATAAGTCATGAAAAGAGAATATCTCGCTTCTAGACCTGTTTATTTTCTGAGCAATCTTTTGTAAACACACACTAACAAGCCCTCTCTCCTAATTAGATCGGAAAACTTAATTCAAAGAATGAGGAAATAAAAAAAATAAAGGAAATCCTTGCAGTTTAAAGACAAATGTTGGTAAGACAGTGAACTCTTCAGGATTTTCAGGAGTATCAGGAGCAAATGCTATCTGTAATTGACATTTAGTCATTCCTTGCACTATTTTTGCACATCACTATCACTTTACTTGGATTCATAGTTATACCGGTACATATATTTATATTTTTATTATTAAAGTACTTCTGATTCTGATTCTGATAAACCAAAGGTTAGAAAAGGTGAAAAATGTAAGCAGATGATTTTTTTTTTCTTTTTTTAAAGAAAGGAACTTTTTAACATCCATAGGAGAATGTGACTGTAGCAACAGTTCCTTCAGAGTTTAGTGAGGAAAGTTATTTATTCTAGTTTTTTTTTGTTTCGTTATCTGGAATAGGCATGAGCATTCAGGACCTTATTGATAGTAACAATGAAAGCAGTTTGGAGCATCAGGAGCAAATGCTATTGTCTCCTTAAGTTCTTTGAACATGATCATGATAGTTGAGGCTTTATACATATAATACATTCCAGGCAGAAACTGAAAATGAAAAAGTTTGGTGTTAAGTCTTGTTTCTACGCTACAAAAAAAAAAACAAAAAAAAAAACATAATGTAGTGGGATCAAACCAGTGCAAATTCTCAGTCATCCAGGTCATGACACAGGTTTAAATCAGAGGCACCCGGCCTTTTGCTCATTTTCACATCAAAAACTCTAGTAAAACCAGTGTTATTTTCATACTATGCAAGCGGGACAGGATGCGGTTAATTCCAGGCCTTTCTCGTGCACAACCTTTAAGAAAAAATTAGAATATGGTTTGTGGACTTTGATTATCATTTATTTCTGACTGATCAGCAGCAGTGAGTTTCCCAAGTGTGAAACTCCTGAAGTTTACAAAAACATTATCTGTCTGGTTCCCAGTGTACAGAAATTAAAACTGCCTATTCAAAAAGTTTGATTATAAATTTTTTTTTCTAACAACAAACAACTAGTAGACTTGGAGCTTGAATAAAAAATATTAAAGAAAGTCTCTTTTACATCATGTCTAAATAGAGAAGTATCATATGATAGCCCAATATCCAACAAAACAAAAATAGAAACAACCTTTTTCTGTTGAAAACTCCTCAAGAACTTCTGTGTCTGTAATAAAACTAGTATATCAAATAAACATCAAGAGAAAATCTCTATAAAAAAGATATTTGGTTAATTTTCTACTGTTGTTTACATAAAATGTGACGCCAAGTGTTCAAGTTAATTTTCTACCCATTAACAGTGTCTTCAATCATTTGTGTCTTTTACATTTTCTGCATAATATAATGTTTTATTATGAACCTTTGAGGGAAAAATATAACTGGAGTTTGGAGTCATTTTCTTCCCCTTTGAACATTTTGATTGTGTCTCATCTGCTGGAATTAGGGAGATGTTTGATGCACACTGGGGTCCTGATCATCAGTCAGTTTGCCTATCTTAGGTGCAAACATGTTTGTACACATAGAGCAGATCTTCAATGAAGTTGCAAAGTAATTTGGATTTGCAGTTAGCTGTTTGTTGAGCTGAACCAAATCGATTTGCACGTCTTAACATTTGCACAGTAATCTTTGTAAATCACACAAGGCCACTTATTGCACCGACTAATTGCATGTGAAATCTAGCATCCCTTATTTGCAATTTTGAACGATCAGGCCCTATATGTAGAGACCTCCTGAAACCATTGGGGATAATGTGAGAAAAGCATTTATCTCTCGAAAATCCAACTTTTCATTGAAGTAAATCTACTACATGTCTAATCCATAGCCACCTATGGAGTTGACAATACAACACCTTTATTTATAATGGAATTTTAAAAGTTATGCAATTGAAAGTCGTTTCTAAGTCTGAGGAAATTTTTTTTTAAAGTGGCACAATTATTGGTACACCTAGCAATTACTTAAATAAAAAAAAATATAAGTTAAAATGGCAATATTTGTATTTTTACAGATTTCTAATAATGTTTGCAGATCCAACCAAAAATATTTCAAACATTATTGAAAAATATAGATTTAAAATTACATTTTTAATTTGGCTAGAATCCTCATCTGACTATAGGTAATATTTAGTTTTAATTCAAAAAGTAATATTTAGGGTTTTGAAAAAGCTTAGCCAAAATATGTGAAGGGAGCTGAAGATGAGGGCGATGGCAAGGAGGCCTTCTAGTTCTAGTATCTTGAAACAAGATATCAGGATACCAAAAAAATAAATAAATAAATTTATAAAATACTGGATATGAAAGAAAACAACAAAATTCCAATGAAAAATATACAAAAGCAGCTTAGCAATCTTAAGAAGCTTTCAATTGAAAGAATCCTTTTTTATACACTGCAAATAAATCAATATTTCTTAAATTAGGTGTATTTAACTATAATTTTAATAGGTAAATAAGATGATTTGCCAATGGAATGAGGATTTTTACACTTAAAATAAGGTAGTTAGATAATATACACTTGAAATAAGACAATGAAATAGTTTTTTTCTCATAAATTGTCTTCTTCTATTGGCAAAGTGTCTCACTTAGCTCCTCGATTCAAGACATAATGTACTTATTTTGAGAAAAATGACTTTTTCAAGTGTAACAGTGACTCACGTCTTCTTTTCTGCCAGAGACAAACTGATTGTTTTACATACATTATTCTAATTATACTAAATCTTTTAATCGTCCTTTAAACCATTATACACCACCTACTGTACAAGCCAGATGGATGATTTTGGAGATAAAGCTTTTAACAATAAACAATGCAAGTAAGAAAAACCCCTAATAATTAACAGACCTTGAAATTTTAAAGAAAAAAATCCTGGGGTCTTCAACTAAAATTGGAATTCACATCCATAACTGGTTTGAATATCCATATTTTTTGGTAAATTATGTTAATAACTGCTAATACATTATCCAAACTGTTAATTATAATCATTAATGGCTGGTAGCATGTAATCACAATGATCTAAAACATGCATATGTTGTAGATTAATTTAGAGAAAAAATATACATTTTTAGATTATAATTGATTATATAAATATCTTAATAATAATAATAATTACAGGACACTCAAAATGTCTGAAAGGACACAGTGGGCCAAGCACCCAACTCTGTGGTGCCCCAAAAAATGAACTGATGTGTACAATTTATCACTAACAAGTACAATCCAACCAGTTTTTCTACTGCAACTAAAAAAGTATGCATTTGAAGGCTTCTAATGTATCTTTATCAGGTTACCGTATCTCTAAAACGTCTTCATAGTTGTGTGTCTTTGCAGGTTGTATAATGAGTCCTGTGAAGAACAGCTTCCTTCACAAATTGAACCTGAATTGTGCTGCACCCTGGACAACATACCACTTATCAGGTCAGTGGTGTCAAGCTCCTTATGTAAAAACTTGAGCTCTATGTGATGCGTATTTACATACAGTGCCACAGTTTTTATTTGACTTTAATGCTATGCATTTAGTATGGATGGTTGGATGCAAAGATAGAAGGCTTGATATTAAGGAGAACCCTTTTATTTTCAGGTAGAACATACAAACTCTGTTTAGTATTTGAACCAAGGAACTTTTTTTATACAAGACAACGGTGCATAGGATTTTTTTCACTTGCAAATATTGTGTCCACAAAAATAAAATAAAATAAAATTAGGCCAGAGGATAGCAGCGTGCAGATTTGCTTGGCTCTCTGAACTGCAATTACAGCAGCATCAACTTGGGTAGGATGTCATTTTAAGGTCCAAACTTTAAGTAAATTAAATTAGTTCTAAAGCAAAACAATCCTGGATGAGATGATGGACCTTTGCAGCTCCACGGGAACTGGAGCTCTCGTTGTGCGTAATAGATCCTTCACCAGTCTTTAAGAAACCAGTGCAGAATGCAAACAATGATTTTCTCCTAGCAAAGGAATGAAAACTGAGTTGATGTTGGACACATTTCCAGCGTTTTTATTCCAAATGCAGAAGTGAGCTCCTGTAATGATGTGGTTTGTTCATACTTCTCATATTGCTGCTATAGAGATATCTCCCTATATGCTCTCTAAGTCCAACTGATTTAAAATCAGACAAAGATATTGTTACAGAGCTGCTTTAATTTCATGACTGTATATAAGTGCTGCTCATTGTGATTGAATCTATAACTGACTAAACCTGGTTTTATTGCAGTAAATGTGGAACTCTACCACCTGAAAGCTGCTTCTTCAGCCTCATATGCAGCACAGGAGCCTTTATGGGTAAGCGTCTTTAACAATTAATGTTAAAGTGATGCACATTTTAAAGTGTGTGAACAGAATTCATACACATCAAACAGCTCAGACTTGTTTTTCCAGCTGCAGCAACCCCAGCCTAAACTTCTCACCCCAGAATCCAATGATAGATCCAAATCTTACTGCAATTCATAAAGGGGAAATATGTACTCTATTCTTTGGAAGGGGCTCTTTTATTGCCCTGCATGAACCGCAAACATTTCCTCACAGGACAAAAGGGGCAACCTTTCCCTCCAACTGTGCGCCACAACTTCTTAAAACCATCTATTTTGGGTGGTCGTCTCCATGTGCAGGACTGATTGTTCTCTGTCTATGCTGGGGTTTTTTTTTTTATCTCCAGCTTGAGATACAGTCAAAATATTTTTTGTTATTGTTGTTTTTAAAGAGAGTCCTGCGAGATGAATTGGAAGACATAGCTGAGGAGATACAGGAGCTTTGTAAAACACTCTACAAAGATCATAATGTGTTGCTGCAAAGATTTGGAGAAAGGAGCATAGTCATGCTATATGACACTACTCTAAATGCCTAAAAAATACAAAAAATCTTTTGATTGACATAAGATAAGATAATATACACCAAACATCCATCCTTATAGAGTTTTGATAGTCAATTTGAGCCTAAATAGAATTCCAGCACCAAGCGCAATGACCAGAAGTAAACAGACGTGGAGCCATCTGCATCACCATCAGTACAACAAAGCTAAAAGGTGGAAATGTGAAACTACGTGAAATTTGCTTGTCTCTGAGGCTTTACTGGGCCACAGGGAAAAGCTACACCTCTACAGTGTAATCTACAGCAGATGTAGGTAAAAGATTATGTAAAAAAAAAAAAAACAATGATAATACAACATTTTTATAGTGCACTTCACAAAGGCAGTATATCTCAAAGTGCTAAAAGCAAAGTTAAAAAATAAAATGATGAAAGAAAACTCAAGTTAGTTCTATATATGTATAAAACTTTAACTTGAGTTTTCTTGTTAATATATATATACATAAATATATTTACTTTTTTGACTATTTGTCTGCCAGTTTTGCACCTTACTTTCAGAAGCACTAAATAAGATGCAAAAAGCTGAAGCCAGAGATGAGTTTTAGATTTAGAGATTCATTTTGCACATGGTAAATGTTTAGGTTTGCATGCCCTATGAATCTGAGTGGTTTGGTCATTGCAATATATAATATAAAAGGTTAGCACGCACTGACAGATAAAATTGCAAATAAAATCACTTTGTCCCTTATTTAAAGATCTGCTCAGTACATATAAACCTGTTTTAAAGATCAGGCCTATAATCTGCCTGCTTACTGAACAGTGTCCACTTTCCCTTTAAGTTCAAAGTTGAATATTTGCACCTTTAGGAACCTGGAAATTGTTCCCAAAAATGGCCCAGACTTTTAGATTGTCTTCCTGATTTCATTTTTTATGGTGGGGATTTTCATGCAATATCACACAGGGAAATACCCTGTGTGAGGACTCCCCATCAACGGTTAATACCATACTGAGTTGCTTTATGTACACATCTGACTTCGAAGAAATATCAGGGGGAGAAGGGAGAACATTTTGTTAGGACCACAAACCCTCCTGTTATGCGTTTATGTGTTAAACTGACAATGTACAGCATGAACGAAAGGGGTGAAAGAAAAAAATGCACACTTTTAAAAGTTTTCATAAATCTGAAAAAGTTTGGCTTTCATTCATATTTAAAGTTCTGAAATTCACATATACTTCTCATTTTACTTGACAAATACCTGCTTCCTCTTATTATTCTATAACATGTAATCCCAATAAAGAAAGTTGGTATGCACCAACATGTTAAATGTTTGAAGGTTTGAATACTTTATCCAGACAAAACAGCTGTTCACCAAACTATTTCTGTTCTCTGAGAAAGTCCGGAGGGCGTTTCTTTCCAGATATTAAGAATATTTCCTCCTTTTCTGATTCTATTCTCATAAACAATCCAGGGTTTCAAAAGTTTTTTTATTTTTTTTAATTAACTAAAAGTTGTGGCGTTCATGCAAATTTGAAGAACGGTCAGTCGTACAGGTCATTGTGCTGTATATCTGCCTCTTCGTATGCTGAACATAGCCACACCTCGAATGCAGACCCCATGCCAGTTTTCCCTTGACTGCCAAAAGCGAACCGCTGCGTTCACTGCTGGACTCCCAACAGGAACGTCCAAACAGGTGCTCTCAGCAGTTTGCAGCATGAAGAGCTCCAGATGTGAACATTGTCTCTGCTGTGAAGCTTTGATGGAGCAGTTTGATAAACATACACCAGGAATCTGCAGCATCAGGTCACACTGCAGGGGCAGCTCATTTACAGAATCTATCAGGCTGGAGTCACTTTAAACATTTTCTTTAAAGTGACTCTAGCCTTAATAATGATGATATTATTATCATCATTATTAAATTAACAAGAAGGTGCTGCAGAGGAAGGATAGATAGGAATAGGAAACATGGGGCAACAAAAACAGAAGCAACACTGACAATGAAAAACTATATGATGGCATGCTTTTATAAAATAAACTGTGTGTTTGATTTTCTTTTCAGTGATGCTAATCACTCTTCTGCATTACGCTCACGTGATAGAGAGACACCAGAACAGTGTTCTGAACATAGCCAGCCTCTCCACTGGATGGATCTGCGCTGCTGGTCTCACCATGGTGGGAAACTTCCAGGTAACTGACCACCAATGATGTCATAGTTTATCTTTGGACCTTTAGCAGAGAAGCACAGAGCCAGTAAAATGTGTGCTGTGGGGTCACCTTTGCTCCCAGCTGTATCTGTGTCTGTAACCATTCAATGAATGTAAATTAGAGTAACAAAGGTGAGTCGTTCTGAATTCTTCAGGCTTCCAGAAGTCTGCCCAAGATTTAAAGGGTTTAACAGTTTAATTCAAATTGCAATATAAAAATTAAAAGGTATTGAAAGCAAAAGGACAAAGTGAGAATGTATGCTGTATGTATGAATGAAAATATAATACAGCTCATTTCACCTTTAAGACATTTAAAATGTTTTCCACTTTTGATTTTATATAGATTAAAAAAAAATAGATAAACTAATCTTTTTGAGTGGGAAAAAAGCTGTAATAACTGTTTGCATATTGTAACTCTGCACTAGTGCAAACTACTTCTCTAAGCACCTGCATTCAGTCTACTTGGGTACTTACCTGCTATTTTACATCTTTGTGAATGTGGTAAACATGTAATAAAGCTTTCCTAGTAAGATTTTTTAAACATTAACATCCTTTAGCTAAGACCACGTTTTGCAAAAAATGTGTAAAATAAATAAACCGACCTCCTTGTATAGATGTACCAGTCAGGATAAGGATTAAACACAGTAATCAATAAGTCCAGACCGTCAGCATTTCACCCGTATTGATAAAGACGTCAACAGTGAAACTGATTAGGAAGACCGTAGAGTCTAAGTATCTTAAGATCAACACAAAATGAGCTGTGTTGGTGGCATGCTTTGGTATTGGCTCCATGGTAGTAGATTAAAACGACTGTTTGAACAAGTTTTCTTCTGGTTTATCCAGGATTAGAGACCTCTAACTGATACTAGAGTGATATTTAAGCTAGAACTGCCACTGAGATGCATTATTCTTTGGTTAGTACTGGTCGTGACCTACAGTATGTTCTACTTATGTCTAGTCTGAGGAGTTTTGCATGATGGAACCTTTCTAAAATAAAAACCTTGCAGGTCTGGGCATAATCTGACAAAACTTATAAGATATCCCATGATCTGATGAAAATACATTTACATTTTTGCAATATTTTTGCATATTGGCAAAATAAAACCATACCCACTGTCAAACATGGCAATTGCAAAAATGTCTTGGATAAAATTAGATGTTTTTTTGTTGTTGTTTGAATCATCACCAGCTCTAAGTCCTAGTCTTTTGGACCCAAATCCATAATATCTGCTAGAAAGCTGGAGATGAGGGAAGATATGTTTTAGCAACATCAGAGGTAAATCTGACAGTTACCTGAAGAGGCCAGTGGACAAAAAAAAAAGACTTTACATGCTAAAACATTGATAACTTTTGCAGAGCAGCCTCACTTTTTTATGCATGAAGACAACTGATGGATGCTACAGAGGCATTAATGCACGTTATCTTGTGCTCACTTTAAAAAGTGGCTCCTACAAAAGTGCAGAACTATCTAAACATCTATAGAGTTACATAATTTCTGCACAGACTTTAATCTCACTGTTATTCACACCACTTCCGGCTTTTGTGCTGTTGGTTTATTTGGAAGTTGATGTTTGATGTTTTTCTGAAAGACCTTCCAAGTCTGTTGCATAGGGTGATGTTATATAATAATATGGCAGTTGATTAATGTAATTAATATACATTTATTATACATTTTTGAATTTTTGACCTCATGTCTGGTTACCAAATCATTTAAAATGATTTTTGATGACAAAAAGTAAGAGACTGCAACAAGATTACAAAATACTTCCATAAAATCCTGTCTTTCTTTTGACAATAATAAAACATTTTTCATTATTGTTTCTTTTGACAATCAAATGAAACAATAATAAAAAATGTTTCCCGTGTGCCCAGAAGATATTGGAGGCATAAGAATAGAAGTTTTAAAGATAAAACAGGAACAGATTTTATGTCTCAAAGGCTGCCACTAAATGCTGCAGAGATTGATAACTCTCTCCTATCACATTCCCATGAAGATTCTGGTGTGTGCTGACTGCTGAGCCCATCTAGTGTTCTCCATTGTCCATTCTCTGTAGACCTTCCAAAGTAAATCTTCTTTCATGTTGTTTGTTCAGTCTGAAAACACCCTTGGTGTGGTGGGATTTTAAAAGCAACTTTACTGTAAGGAGTTGAGCAAAGCTGTGAGGATAGGCAGATTTACTGAGGCTCGTACGTGCCTCCCTTCACTCAGATATTAGAATTAAGCATCTTGTAGTTTGGGTCCATTTAGACCAAAGGAGTGTCTTATGTCGTGTACAAATTGGTCTTTTAATAAACTTGCTTTTTTGCTTTATGCCCACATTTTTATTCTATATATATTCAACTTTGGTTATTATAGCAAGCAACTACAAGCAGATTGAACAATTTCTCAATATGTTTATTGAGTATAAAACTAAATAAACAAACCCTGGCTCAAGAAAATCAAAATAGTTTTGTTGTTAAACATGTAAAAAAGGAATCACGAGTCTTGTTTTAGGGTATTGTTTAAATAAGAAGGTGTTATACTGCAACTCTCATTTGTCTGAGTACATGTAATCTTGTTAAGACCCAACAACAAATTATTTTTATTTTATTTTGAAAGACTCCTCCAATTAATTATATAAATAAATATTCAAAATCACTTCATAATCTGATTTCCTATTTAATAAAGTTTGCGTTGTTATTTACTGCTCAAAGTTAACTGTTGAGATGCTTATTCTTATGATACATGATGCTAGAATCTGTTGTTTAACTTTTGCATTATTAGAAGTAAAAGTGGCAGCAGCATTAAAATTTAGCAATCTTTGTAGCTATAACTAGCTTTTAAATACCCTAAACTGCAGTCTTAACTCACCATGTGATGTCTAATAAGATTGCTTAATGCAATGGCAAAATAAAAACGAAGAAGGCTCATAGAAAGTAAAGTTTATTTTTATGTCTCTTTAGAATAAAATTATTTGTTCTATTTCAGGTGGATTTTGCCAAAGTTCTCCATTATATTGGAGCTGGGGTTGCCTTCCCATCCAGCATGCTGTTTGCGTGTTTCCAAGCGGCGCTAACCTACAGACTGGCTAAAACCCAGGAGGAGTACTGGGTGGGTCACATACGAGCAGGGATGGCTCTATTAGCACTAATCACATTGGTGCTCAGTATCCTTTGTGTGTAATTTTACATTTTCCTCCAATTTCTGCCTCTTCTTGAGCCTTTTGATCAACAGATTTTGTTGTTAAGACTCTTTTTGTGGTCAAGTTATACAGCAGATATTCTTTTATTTATTTATTTTTTAATCATCCGATACTGCAGTGTTAAATACTTTGAAAGAAAAGAAACAAAATCCTAACACTATCATTGCTGCTTCAGAGATAATTAACCTCTTTTAACCTAACCCACTGATGGAGAACTAACTGCTTCACATACAAGTAAAACAATATTAAAATTTAATAAATGAAAAATTATTAACTTTCTTCATTGTGCTTTTGCACAAGTGACATATAGAGAACTTTTCTAATGTCATCCTGAGCTGTCTAATCCTTCAGGGTCTATCTTTTACAACTTACAGTTAAAGTTTGATTTGAAATAAATTCTCCTGCAAGTAGGGGTGTGGGAAAAAATCAATTTGGCAATACATCACGATTTTCGGCTGCCTGATAATATCGATCTTTCAGTTCCTAGTATTCATTAAAAAAAATTTTAAAAACAAAATTTTTTACCTAATAATGAGGGAATAAGGGCTACCTCTGCACCGCAACTCTGGCAGATGGCGCTGTGGAGTCCTTTTCCTGTGTGTCACAGCACCATATCTGTAGTTGAGGCAGTAACAGTGATGTGGACTAACTCAAACCCAACAACAACATGGATACCAAAATAACTAAATGATCAATATCGTCTGATGAACATTTACAGTACTTGCTTTTCATCCATGAATCTAATTTTCATTGTTGGGAAAAGTATCACAATATATAGTGATATCACAATATCGTGATAATATATTGTGACTCAAGTATCGTGGTATGTATCGTATCGCAACACCTATGCCAATACTCACCCCTACTTGCAACTCAGCAGAGTTTAGCTTAAAGTGGTGCAGTGCCAGCTGATCTGGAATATGCTCAAACCAGGCTAAGATAGCAGTTGTTATGGCCATCTCAGATAAAATGGCCTTGGATGAGATTTATGTAACTTTATGGATTACTGGTTTGTTTGAGATAATCAACTCTCCTTAACCCTACCATTACCAGGTGGAGTTTTTTTCTGCCAGGAGAGTTTCGTCCTCCAGCACACCTCTGCCATCTTCGAGTGGGTCTACTGCATGATCATCATGCTCTTCTATGGGACGTTTGCGTTTGAATTTGGGGGCATATCAGCTGACACGCTGATTGCCCTCTCGAGAGGAGGGGGACTTTCCAGCTTCTCCCTCTCTGGGCACAAACCGGAGATCAGTGGGGGATCCAGCCACCTCCAGGCAGAAAACCTGTCCGTCCTGTAACTGAAAGGTGCTGGATTTCCCTGTGTAAAACACAGAAGACAATAGTTATGCTTATGTTGGACATTAAGTGTCTCAGAGCCAATGGCACTAAATAACACTTTTTTCTCTATTTGTTGCAATTTTTTTACATTGCAACAAAATTGGATATCTGTGTTTCAGACACTCCCTTGGTGAGCAGTTGCTGACTTGTCCAATGCCTGGGGAGCTTTGTCCAGATAAAGACCCTAAATGGCTTAACTGCTCTGCTATAAAAATGCACGATATAAGTTCTTTGCTGAAGACAGAGGCCGTTACGATTTACACGTGGACATTCCTCAGTGTTTGTTTTATTTCCTCCTTATATAATGCTCACCCCTTGAATCCTCAGCTGGAGGCGCTTTCATCTGAACAAACGTCTTGAAAATGTGCCTTTAGAAGTTTCTCAGAGTTTAGATGTTCAGACTCAGCGCCTCTATACTGTTTTTATTCAGAAAGTTCTGTTACATCACCAGTTTTTAATCCTTTCCAGTCACTGTAAGGTGAGTTTCTTGTTTTGTTTGTTTGTTTGACTAAACTTTCAGACAATAGGTGGATGTAACTGGGTGCCAAGAATAATTTTCTTTTATCTTAAGTGGATTGTCCACAAAAATATATACCATAGTGGTGTTCATGGCAAACAGCTCATCTATTCAATGTCTTAGTTTATTATATGCAAGTTATTGCAACATATTGCAGAGATAGCTGCCTCATTTTTGTATATAAGCTCAGCTCGGTTGTATATTTGATCTCATCAGCTTTTTTTTATCAAAAAAGGTAGTTTAAGCAGCATATGAGAAAATAATGCAGTTTTCTATATCCTACCGAAATATGTTCAATTCAATTCAGATTTATTTATATATAGCGCCAATTCACAAAACATGTCATCTGAAGGCACTTTACAGAGACAATTCAACCAGATCATACTTTAAAGGTCTCATATTGTGGATCTTGGTGGTTGTTAGTATGCAATGCAAACCTCCTAAGTTACTTACTGAGTTGAATCCTTTTGTAGATTGTGGGGATGGGCTGTGATATGGCTCCACTAGGAAGGGAGCAAACTGTTCTTTGAAAAAATTTAAATTGAACTTTATTGATCTCACAATGGAGAACTTTCTGCAATTAAACAATTAATTTTAAGGAGCAGTGGGCTGCCACTGTGCAGCACCTGGGAGGGTTAAGGGTCTTGCTCAGAGACCCAGAGTGGCAGTTCGTGGGAGTGGGTTTCAAACTCACAACCTCAGGATTCCAATGCCCTAACCACTAGGCCACCACTCCCCTAAAGCAATTGTGAAGCAAATCAAGTTCAGGAAGCACCTTTGTTTTTGGCTGGCATTGGGTATAAACTATTCCACACTGAAGTGTGTGTCTTGTTGTGTATTGAGCCTCTATTAAAAGGTTAGATCAAATCCAGTTGTGGACATTCCTTTTTTCTACAATATAACACATATTACTTTATAACAGAATTGCAATATTTGTACTTCCTTTAGTTTTTCATAGATAGAAGGATAGAAGAATAGAATAGGATAGAATAGAATTGTCACGGTTTGTTTGGAGGTTTTTATGAGGACCCAGGTGCAGAGGCTGACAGGCAGAGGTGAGCTCTTAAAAGGTTGGATTAAAGATCAGGCAGCAAAAACAGGAATCCAAAAATCCAACTTAAAAATGTTAAACAAAAACAGGTATCCAAAAATCCTACATAAAAATCAAACACAAACCAGAACCATTGAGACATTAAGGGAAAACCATCAAGGAGCCAGGGTGAGAAAAGGTAAGACGAGGAACCAGAAAAGAGGGACTGCAGAGGGAGTGTATTTATGGCTGACTGAACAAAGGTAGGACTAATGAGCTGATAAGGAGCAGGTGTGACTAGAGTTGATGAGGACGCCGAGGGAAACAACACAAGGGGGCAACAGAGGACAGACAGAAAAACCTAAGTAACTAAAATGAATCCAGACACACCAATAAAGCTAGAAAACCTGGCTAGACTTGAAACTGAAAACGTAGAGAAAAACAACAGAACCAAGATCGTTACAAGAATAGAACAGAATTGAATTCAGTTGAAAATCCCTTTATTGTCCCACAATGGGGAAATTCTGGTGTTTAAAGCAGCAAAAAGATTACAGAAAAATGTGGACCTTAGAAAAATGTATAAGAATAACCTACTACCTACGATAAAAAATATAATAATGTACTGTGAAGTATTTTTACAATATAAAACTGTGCACCTTAAGAAAAAAAAACAATATACAGCTATGGACATTTTTTACAGTACTGGATATTTGAAAATGGCAGCGAGATCAGAAATGTTCAAAATGACAGCAGCATGTTATTTAACTGACTAAGATAGAAACTATACAAACTCAGCATGAATGTAACATCAGCATGAATGAAAAAATCAAAAATTGTGCACATACTATCGATGTATGATATATTGTTGTTGGCATCAGCTGTTATTAGTCACTTTTTATACATTAATGTTTTTGAGCCCTTTATAAATAATGTACTATAAGGTATCAGTCTAACGTTCTAAATATCAACATCAGTGTATTTTGGTTCTCTTGTGTCTTCAGCAGCAGGAAGGCATTCAATAAATACATAGAAGTACCTAATGGACGCTTTCAGGTCGCCTAACTGCATGTCCATCAGCCACCACAAATAGAGTGTCCCTACCAACTTGTATCACAAAGTTACACCCTTAAAACCAGCACAGGGAGAAGTTAAAGGTAATGAAATAAGCTAAAAGCTCTTTAGATGGGGCAATAGCAGTAACGATTCCATTTGAAAGGGGAAGGAAAATCATTTAAGAGTAAAGAAACAGAAATGTGGCAAAAAGGGTTGGATAATGTTGAGAAAAAAATTTGTTTGTATAACAATATATTGTAAAATCAATGTTAGTGACAAATATTAGTGAGAAAAATAGATGGAAAGAAATAATAATGACTGGATTAAGATTAGGTCATACGTATCTAAATTAAATTATATATTTAACTGGTAAAAAGAAATATTGATAAATGTGAGGGAGGTAGACGGAAATAAACACTATAAAGGATGAAATAAAAAAAAATAATATAATGGCAGGCCATGAATGGAGTCTGAAAGGATTACTGGGGCTCGAGGGTAACGAAATGGAGATGTATTCGGTAAAGCATCTATTTATCTTTATGAAAAATAGAATGTAGGGATGTGTTCAGAAGATAGTAGGAAAAAGAAGAAGTAGAAGA